ACAACGCCCGCAGGGCGTGCGCCCCAGCTACCCCCTTCACCCCAGGACAGCGAAAACGAGCCTGCCGATGCAAGTGGACGCTGGCCCCGCCTGCGGGCGAGAGCGAAAAATCTCCTCACATTCCTGAACAAGTGGCTCACGCCGGCAACTGCGGCTGCCCACCTCAAGGCCCTCCGGGCGGGAGGCAAAAACCAGCCCCATAGGGGCAGCTGTGTTCCATGTTGGCTTTGGCTTCGTTGACGTCGTACTCCAACACCTTAAGTACCTCCCGGAGGACAAACTGGGCAAAGGACACTGCCCAAGGCGGTTCCAACGTCCAAACTCGTCCAAACAATGTCAACTTGGCTGAAAAACCAACGGCACAAAATATCACGGAATCACCGAAACACCACGTTGTAGCTCGTGACAGCACCGCCAGTGCAAAACTCTTGTGACAGACATTCCTACGCCATCGCGCCGCTGCGGATCGCAGAAAGACTGCACGACACGCACTGGGTTCAAGCACCTGCCTACATGGTGATACGCCTTCTGGAAGTCCTCTTCGCTGCCCACCAGCGGGGCGCCGAAGGCCAACTGCGAGGCTACCATGCGCGCGAGAATGACCTCGCTGCTGGAGCAGACGATTTTCTCGAAGGGGGCCAGGCGACGTTGAAGCAGCAACCGCCCGGAGCCTCCGGCGCATCTGCGCACGGCCAGGGCCTCCCAGGAGCAGGACGGCACAACGGTGCCCTGACCGTCCGACCAGTCACGCTGCCACGCAAAACCTCACTGCAGAAGACGGCGTTGTTTCCCCCGCCAGGCCCCGCACGGAAGAATTCGACTGGCCCGGCAGGTCAGAGAGCGCCCGTCTGTCCGGCCGCCGAACCCTGCGCGCACATCTCAGCAGCATGCGGTTGGCTCCTCCGCACGCGCTACGCGAGCTCCTCGTTGCAGCCGCGGCTCTCCTGTGAGAGCTGGCTGACCGACCAGGCAGGCGCCGTCGCCACGACTTGCGGACAAAATCCGGACTCTGCGGCGACACCTGTGTCCCGGAGGCTTTGGTGGAGGCACTGCAACCAGGAGGCGGCAAGGGAGTCGAAGAGGCGAAGGATGCGGAGGAGGAGGGACGGCTTTCGAGCGAAGTGGGCAATGGTTGGCTTAGCTGAACCTGATCATCGTGCAACTCTCGCTTTCAGACCTTGAGCAAGGCCAGCCTTTTCAAGCGAATGTCATTGACAACGCTACCGAAACGGATTTCTCCTGCAACGGCAAGCGTCGTGCTCTGAGCCACAGCTAGCGGCGGATTCAAAGAGTGAGCACCGCGCCTGGCCACGCCAAGCGCTGCCGCGAGGTGTTCGCCGGGCAGCAGGCCCGAAGACTGGACCGCGTGAAGCACGCGGCGCGGCTGCACTGCTGCCGAAGGCGTCGCCCCGCCGACCGCAAGCGACGGAGAAGGCGACGCCCTCGCCGAGCAGAGCGTGCCCTGGGGGCCGCGAGCACCGAGGCTGGCAGGTCAGCGCTCGAGCTCAAAACCCTGAAGCACAGCGCACCCTGCGGAGCACGCGGCTGCGGGAGAGCGCGGAGGAGGCAGGCGCGCTGGAGGGCGGGAGGGATGGCGGCGCAGCTCGAGGCCGGGGACTGCGGCGCGACGGGAGGCAAGAGACCAACTACGCGTTCCCTTTGTGGGTCCACGCTTTGGACCCCAGGCACACACACACAAAAAACAAAAAAAAAAAAAAAAAAAAAAACTCGAGCCCCAGTCAGGACCCCCCTGAATCACCACTGCGGGAGTGGGGTGCCTGGCTGGGGGTATGCGGCACGATCCCGAGACCCCGTCTAGTTGCCTCGATCCCATCTGGGAGGCCTGGGCTTTCGTCCCCAGGCCTCCGACCCGACTCTTCCTCTACCCCTTCCCCTGGCGCTGGCGCTTGGAGACCCATGCCAAGAAACACCCTTCTTGCCTCCAGGATGCCGTGGGTTTCTTGGGTTTCGATGGTTTTGCAATGGAAAACGCGACGTTCCCACACCAAGAATCAGTGAACGCCCTGAAGTCTCAGGGTTGAGTTTCTTGCGGAAGGCTTCTTGAGGACTGGCCTCCACTGTAGTTTCTTGACGGCCCTGGGGGCCGCAACACGGAGGAAGCGATAAGATCCCGATGCCGCTGCTCCTGGGCGACCTCTCCCGCGGTGCGCTCTGACTGAAATCAGGTCGGCCCTGTCCCCCTACAGGCGGGTTTTGGACGAAAAATAAAAAAATACTCAAACATCCTTCAAAATCCACAAAAAAATCAAAAAGTCGTCCCAGTACTATCCTTCTAACTATTCTTGACTACTCCTCCTGTAGAGGGACAGGCCCGACTCAAGACTAGAAACCCGAAGGCGAGTCTGGCCGTGGCGACGAGGGGGCCTCCTAGGAGGCCCACAGGTGCGAAAGCGAGTCAAGGGTAGCGGCATTGGTACCCTCCCCTCCGCTGAAAAAGCCGCAGAGCGGAACCTGGGCGCCGAGAGAACGACAGTCGGCCCGTAGCAGCAGGATGCGCGACAAGGAGGCTAAGGGCCAGGGAAGGCCGCTTCGAAGCTTCTCGAGCGGGGCGCGGCCCACGAAAGCGGCCGAGGACGGGCCGAGGAGGCGAGGCTGCCCGTCCTTCTTGCGCGGGCTGACTGCAACGGAAATGCTGGAGCCGCCGGGGAGTTCCGGGCTCTGCGCGGTGCGCTGGCCCTCCCGAGGCCCGAGTGCGACCGCCCGCGCCCCAAAGGGCCTCGGCGCCCCAGCCGGGTGCTGGGCCGATCACAGCAGTGGCGGTCTCGCAGTCCGCAGGCCGCGATCGGACCACACAGATTGCACAGCACAGACTGCACAACACAGATTGCACCACATGTACTGCACAACCGAGATTCTCCTTTCTAAAAAGAGAATAGACTCTACCCCCCCGGGCGTTATCCGCCCCCCTTTCGGGTACGTAAAATCACATATGATTATGACCACATGTCCATCCGAAATATGAACTTACACTATCCCAAGGGATACGGGATCGGTCCCCCTGAGGTTCCCTTGTGGAAGAATATACGCGGGGACATCTTTTGCTCCAACATACCACTTGTTCACGAATCCGTTGCAAAAATTAAACGAAGTGCACACGCGCGCGTCTTCGAGCGCGCATGCCGAAATCCTTCAAAAACCTTCGGTGTCAGAAGGATTTCGCAATCGAAACTCCAAAAAACATACAAAAACAAAGAGTTTCGCAACACTGATTTGCTAAAAAAGCTTCCGCGCGAGCTGTTGCGAAATCTTAAGAAAACCATAGGTTTTGCAAGATTTTCACAAAATGCTACCAAACGGGCTTCGCGCGAGCGCATGTCGAAATCTGTCGAACGCCCTTGCGCGTGTGCCGTCGCGAGAATCCTTTGCAACAAATGGGACGAAGTGCAGACGCGCGCGTCGTCGCGCGCGTGTGCCGAAATCCTTCAAAACCCATCGGCTTCGGAAGGATTTCAACATCGTGTGTCGAAAAAAACTACAAAAGCACAAGGTTTCGCAAAACGGATTTTCAACAAAAGCGTGCGCACGCGCTCTTGCGTCGTTGTCATCGTCGTCGCCGTCCTCCCTCCTCCCGCGTCGTCGTCGTCGTCGCCTACGTCGTCCTCTGTCTTTCCTCGTGTTTGTCGTCGTCGTCCTCTTTGGCGTCGTGGTCGTTTCCGTCGTCGTTCTCGCCGTGGTCGTCCTTCCTCCTCCTCCCTCGTCGTCGTCGTCCGTCGTCGGCGTCTCGTCGTCGTCCCTCCTATTTCGTCGCCGTCGTCGTCGTCGTCGTCGTCGTTGTCGTCGTCGTCTTCCCTCCTCCCTCGTCGTTGTCGTCGTCGGCGTCGCCGTCCTTCCTCCTTCTTCGTCGTTCGCGTCGTCGCCGTCCTCCCTCCTCCCTCGTCGTTGTCGTCGTTGTCGTCGATGTCGCCGTCGTCGTCCTCCCTCCTCCCTCGTCGTCGTCTTCGTTGGCGACGTCGTCGTCGTCTTCGTCGTCGTCGTCTTCGTCGTCGTTCGTCGTCGGCGTCGTCGTCGTCGCCGTCGTCGTCGTCGTCGTCGGCGTAGTTGACGTCGTCGTCATCGTCGGTGTCGTCGTTGTCGTCGTCGTCGTCATCGTCCGTCGTCGTCATCGTCGTCGTCGTCGTCGTCGGCGTCGGCGTCGTCGTCGTCGTCTTCGTCGTCGTCGGCGTCGGCGTCGTCGTCGTCGTCGGTCGTCGTCGGCGTCGTCGTCGCCGTCGTCGTCGTCGTCGTCGTGACGTCGTCGTCGGTGTCGTCGTTGTCGTCGTCGTCGTCGGCGTCGTCATCGTCGTCGTCGTTGTCATCGTCGTCGTCGTCGGCGTCGGCGTCGTCGTCGGTGTCGTCGTCGTCGTCGTTGTCGGCGTCGTCGAAGTCGTTGGAGACGTCGTCGGTGTCGTCGTAGTCGTCGTCGGCGTCGTCGTCGTTGTCGCTGTCGTCGTCGGCGTCGCTGTCGTTGCCAAGTGCCATTTGGTACCCATCGTCACGGTCTTAAGAGATTTTGCAAACCAAGTTGCGGGTGGGTGGGAGGGATGTTTGCGCGAGCAGTGGAGTGGACAACTCACTGCGAACAGAAATCAATTGCACCACCTAGATTGCACCACTCGGCTGCTCCACGTGCTTTGAGTGATATAGGCTTCTCCACATGGATTGCCCGAGCGCGGCTCCGTCGCCGTGGCTTCGTTTCTGGGTAGCGGAGGGGGGGGGGGGTAGAAGAAGAAAAGCGGCAGTAGCTCGGGGCGTCGCGCGGATGCCTCGGATCTGCGCGGGGCCCCCTGGCGGCGCCTCTGGCGCCGCCCCCGACACGCTCCGCGCGTCAGGATGGGGGGTCAGCGCCGATCCAGGGAATCCATGCGGAGCCTCCGCAAGTCTATGCTCGCGCCGCTTCTTTGCTCACTCGAGGAGGGTCAGCGCGCGCGTGCGCGCGCGCACGGACGTCCCGGGAGGTCCCCCAGGAGGCCTCGCCCCCTGCAGAGGTTGCCCCTCCCCTCCAGGGGCTTCCCGATCGGCGCGCTACCGCCATCGCTGGCGCTGGCCTTTCCTGGCTCCAGGAGCGGCGCGTCCTCCCCCGGCTGCGGGCTCTCGCCCGCGCTCCTGGCAGCGTCCCGCATCGCGGGCGCGGGCCTGATGCCGAGCCGAAAACTGACCTGAGCCCCTCCGCCCTGCGCCCGTTTTCCATCTCTCTCTGTCTCTCTCTCTCTCTCTTTCTCCCTCTCTCTCTCTCTCTCTCTCTCTCTGCGGCCCTGTGCTGAGCCAAGACTGGCCCGAGCCCTCTGTCCTGCGCCCGTCTCCCCCCCCCCTCTCTCTTTCTCTCTCTTGCTGGCCCTGTGTTGAGCCCTCCTCTCTAGTTATCCCTCGCGCGCGCGCTTATTTCTCTGATGCCGCGCCAGTCACGAGCCCCAGCTTGACCTCCCTGGGCTCCCCCACGGCCGTCACGTACGCGAAGGCTCGCCCCTTTACCTCCTGGGGGGGGTCCTTATCCCCTACACGCCGGTCGGAACTAGGAAGGCGGATAAAGTCGATTGGGTTCAGGCCCTCCCAGAGAACAACAAAACAAAGCAGAAGCATATCGATTCTTGAAGTAGGAAGGCGCTTGAAGTTGGGATCTGGGAATCCAAAAATGCGGAAAAAAAGCGACGCCAGGATCTCAGGATAGCCTGCTCTGCGGGATGAGGGGGCCCTGCCCCAAGTAGCAACCACATTCGGCACACCCTCCTCTTCCTCCTCCTTCTAACCCTCCTGCGGGGTATCATGACAGGGCAAGGAGCACTGGACGTCACACCCCAGCTGTCCGAAGGGCCCAGCCAAGGCGACGGCGAGCGCGCCTCGAAGACGGCGCCGGGAGGACACGAGAGGGTCGGCCAGGACGACAGGAAAAAGCAGGCCCGCCCCCCTTGACGCGGCAGTGAGGAGGCAGGGCGACATCCAGGAGGCTCGACCTCCAGGATCAGAACGTGCAGTCGAAGCCTCGTGGAGGGTCCGCGCGGCCACAGCTGGCCGCAGCTCGACAGGCTGGACAGGACGGGCCCCGGGAGAGCACCGAGCACCGCGCCCCCGCGTCACGCAGGCCAGCCCTAAGGGGGGGGCGGGGCGCGGCGGCGTCTCGGCTCCGACAGGTGTGCAGCAATCCCAGGCAGAGGGAGAGGGAGAGGGACAGGGTACTCCAGATTTCGTTTAAAAAAAAAAGGGAGGGGGGTCTGGACCCTCCAAGACAAGCCACTTCAGACCTCCCCCGTGGGAGAGCCCTCCGAAGCATCGTCCCCAGACCCCCCAGGCCCTCCAAGATAGCCTGGAAGAGACCCCCCCGAAATGAGACTCCCCTCCCTCTATTACGAAATCTGGAGTGGTCAGCCTCGAACGTATCCCTATCCTTGAGATTGGCAGGCCAGCCGGCGATGGCGATCTCACGAGTGCGTGCCCTCAGAAACACGGAGGGAATCCCTGAGATCGGCATCGAGGTGAGGCGATGCCAAGCATGGGCACAGGGATATGATTCGCGCTGGTAAGAGGGAGCGAGGAGGAGGAGTGAGGAGGAGTGAGGAGGAGTGAGGAGGAGGAGGAGGAGAAGGAGTGACGAGGAGAAGGGAGGAGGAGGAGGAGGAGGAGGAGGATGAGAAGGGGGAGGGGGAGGAGGAGTAAGGAGGAGTGAGGAGGAGGACAGAATGTGCCTCGGGAGGGGGTTGGGGGCTTGGGGGCGCCGGCTCGGAGCGGCGCTTGGCCAGGGGGGCCCTGCCTGGGGCGAGGAGGGCGGCATTCGAGGCAGGCGGGGGCCCTCCGGACCTGGGCCCGAGGAAGGAGAGCACGAGGCCCTCCCGTCGGCCACAACGAACAGAGCATGCGAGGATGCCCTCCCCAGGGACACAAGAGCATGCAACAGGCACGGAGAGCATCGGGGCAGACTCCCCGAGCCGACCTCGATCTATATATATATATATATATATATATATATATATATATATATATATCATACCTCGGTCCGACTGTATCTGGAACGGCTGGCACGGCCCCTGAGAAGGCCGCGTCGAGGCGAGAGCGCTCGGAACCGTTTCCCAAGATCAACGGCTCGCCATCGCTCGGACGTCCGTTCCCCGTGCCGTTGTCGACTTCGTGCACTCGCCGTTTCGCAAGACGATCCAGGACGCTCCTCGATGGCCCTCGCCGAGAGAAAAAACATCTTCGAGCGAAGCCAATGCAGCCACTAGTTTCTAGACATGAGTTTTCGGCGACGACGACGACGACGACGACGACGACGACGACGACGACAAGGCAGGGCTTCCAAGAGGCGGGGCACCCTCTTGGCAGGCCGCCCCGCCTCGCCGTGCCCTCGCGCGTGCCGCAGGGAGGCCAGAGAGCGGCCCACGGGAGCTTCTGGCCGTCACCGTGGCGCCCAATACAGTCGGGCTTGATTGGAGAGGGCACGCGAGAGGACACAAGACCCTTTCGCTAGAGGAAAGAGAACTATGCACATGCACCGACCCTGACAACGCCCATCCTTGACCCAGGATCGGTGCATATGCCTTCCTGGCCAAGGCAAGAGGGCGTATGCACCGATCCTGGGCTCAGGATGGTCCTGGCCAGAATCGGTGTATGTGCATAGTTCTCTTTCCTCTATTCGCGGGCTGCATCGCCACAGGAATACACGAAGCATGGGTCGCGGGACACAGGACACAAGGGTGCCCTTGATCTGGCAGGGCCGACCCACTAATCCGGGTCGCCTGTGGCGCGCCCCATCGCGCGCAGAGCGGACATCGTGCATCTCCCTTACAACCCAACGCCAAACGGGCGCTCTTGGGGCGCGACTGGCTGCTCTTGGGCGCGATTCAGAGCGCTGTTTGGCGCTCCCCGCCGCCATTGAGCGCTGTTGGGCGCCTCTTCGCCGGTGCACGTTCCGTCCGAGACGAGCGGAGCCTCCCGTGACTTGCTGCCTGGGGAGAGGACCCGCTTGGCCCCCAGAGGTCCGACTGCACCAGCTCCGTCGGCGGGTCCACCCTCACCTAGGAGGGCACCAACTATACACCAACACCGATCCTGGGCCAGGATCGGTGTTGGTGTATAGTTGGTGCCCTCCGATCACCAGGCCCCAGTCCGCCAGCACGGAGGCCAGGAGCAGCACCGCCTCGTGCGCGGCCGAGCCCTCCGCGAAGCTGCCCAGGGCGGCACTGATCGCGTCGAAGCCGCCGGCATCGATGACGGCCGTGGCGGCGACCATGCCGTTCGACTGCACGAGCCTCCACAGCAGGCCGCAGGCCTCCTCCGCCACGCTGGGGCTGCCCGGGAAGCGCCTCATGGCCGCGACGGCCTCCTCGCCCCCGCGGTCGGTGGGGCCATTCGGGGGGGGGGGGCATGGAACGGGCTGGGGGGGGCAGGGCCTGGGAGCCGACCGGGCTCTCCAGAAGCACACGGGAGAGATCAGCGAGTCGTCCAAAATCAGCCGAGCTCGACCTCTCTGTTGGCCTCTGGGGGGTGACTTGATGGCCCCTGGCAGCGTCCGCTTTCGCAGCGCTTCGGGGGCACCATCCGGGGGACTTGAAGCGAAGTGGCGGAATTCCGCGGTGAGCCGCTTGCGCTATGGATCTTTCGAGGCGCGTCGCGCCGATCGTCGACGCGGCGCGACAGCGGCGGCTTGCGCGGTCGGGCCCCAACGGGCGCCCCCAAAAGCTGCGGCACCCTGGCTCGACACCTCCAAGCTCCCCTCGGCCCCACCTCTCGGCGCCAGTTGTGTGTCGCTGTCTCCCTCTCTCTCTCTCTCGAGCCCGAGCGGTCCGCAAGGGTCCCAGGGCCCGAAGCTGGACAAAGAAAACGATTTTCGAGAGGAAGAAAAATGCATGACCCTAATTTTAGGTCGGACATGTCCGCCATACAGGCGGATGTTGTTTGGACGATAAGCGAACCATATTAATGATAGTAATTATATGTCCGAAATCCGCCGGCCCCCTTGCGGGGCCACCAGGCTGTAGGCCAGGAATGTGCTGCTCCCTGTACAAGTTGCAGCTTCCAGTTTCCACTGTTACAGGTCTGCTTCTTGCTGCTTACCGATCCTTGTTGATGAACGCGCGAGGGGGGGGGAGCCCAAACCAGCAGAACTACCACACCCTGGGAGGGTTCTCAGAATTTCTGGGGGGGTAAAAATTGACACCCCTCACGCAGATCCGCAGGGTCAGGGTCCAAAAACACAAGGGATTTGCCACATGCTTGAACTTCAGAAGCACCCCTCATGCACATCGGCGGGGTCAGGTTCCAAAAACACATGGGATTTGCCACATTCCTAAAATTCAGTGGCACCTCTGACCCAGATCGGCAGGGTCAAGATTTGCAACATTTCTGAAATTCGGTGGCACCCCTCACGCAGATCGGCGGGGTCAGGGTCCAAAAACACAAGGGACGCGTCACATTTCTGAAATTCAGTGGCGCCCCTCACGCAGATCGGCGGGGTCAGGGTCCAAAAACACAAGGGATGTACCACAGCTCTGAAATTCGGTGGCACCCCTCACGCACACCGGCGGGGTCAGGGTCCAAAAACAAAAGGGATGTGCAACATTTCTGAAATTCGGTGGCACCCCTCACTCAGATCGGCGGGGTCAGTGTCCAAAAACACATGGGATTCGCCACATTTCTGAAATTCGGTGGCACCCCTCACGCAAATCGGCGGGGTCAGGGTCCAAAAGCACATGAGATTCGCCACATTTCTGAAATTCGGTGGCACCCCTCACGCAGATCGGCGGGGTCAGGGTCCAAAAACACAAGGGATGTACCACATTCCCCTCAAGCAAATCGGCGGGATCAGGGTCCAAAAACACAAGTGATGTGCCACACTTCTGAAATTCGGTGGCACCTCTGACGCAGATCGGCGGGGTCAGGGTCCAAAAACCCAGGGGATGTGTCACATTTCTAAAATTTGGTGGCACCCCTCACGCGAATCGGCGGGGCCAGGGTCCAAAATCATGGGGGGGGGCCACATATCGGAAATTCGGCGGCACCCCTCACGCAGGTCCGCAGTGCAGGGTCAATAAAAACAATAGCATTGGCAACATTCCTGAAATTCGGTAGCACCCCCCAAGCAGATCGGCGCCGCCAGGGTCCAAAAACAAACAGGTCCCGACACTGCTTCACGGCGGCGCCCAGACCTCATGATTTAGCTTTTGCATCTCCCATTATCCGGGCCGGCGGCATGGGGCGAAGCCCTTACGGATGTATCAGTAAGAAAAAGCCCCCTGACTACTTCTCGACTACTTTTGTGAATTCGCCGGCCCAACGGGCCAGGGCGTGCTAAGATCTCCGGTAACTGGTTAACAGTATTAACAGTATTTCTAGTTCGCGCGCGCGGGGCGGCCCCTGGGGGTCCCCCGGCGAAAAGTACCCCGACCAACGCCCGACCAAGTCTACTCAGAGATGGTTTTCCTTCTGGGTGCGGCCTCTCAGGCTCCCCAGAGCGCGCTCAGAGTGCCCCAAGAGGCCCCCAAGACTGCCCAAGAGGCCCCCGAGACGCCCAAAGAGCGCTCGAAGACGCCGAAGATGACCCCAAGACGGCCCAAAAGGCCCCCAAGACAGCCCAAGAGGCCTCCAAGACGCCCCAAGGGCCTTCCAAGAGGCCTCCGAAGAGGGCCCCAAGAGGCCAAAATCGTTGATTTTCATTGTTTTTTTCGATGTTTTTTGCGTTCTGGCTTTTTCGGCTTCCGGACGCTCCAAGACGGCCCAAGAGGCCCCCAAGACCGCTCCAAGACGGCCCACGAGGCTCCCAAGACGGCCCCGGAACGGCCCAGGAGGGCCCCCAAGACGGCCCAAGTGCCGCCCAAGACGGACCAAGAGGCCCCAAGACGGGCCCAAGAGGGGCTCAAGAGGGGAACCGAGAACTGAAAAATCGAGCCCTCCGCCCCAGAAGGCGCCCAGGAGGCCCCAAAAAGGCCCCAAGAGGCCCCCAAGAGGCCCCCAAGACGCCCCAAGAGGCGCCCAAGAGGCCCAAAAGATGCCCCAAGAGGCCCCAAAACGGCCGCCAAGAGGCCCCAAAACTCGGCTAGCCCACAACGGTGCGACAATATGGGCCGGCGGAATGAGCGAAGCGATTAAATATTCCTCCTGCAGAGGGGCACGCCCGACTTGACCCTAATTTGTCGGAGGTCCACGCGGATGTTTTGCATCTGCGCTGGACTCCTCTCCCTGGCGCGCGGAGCGCGCCGGTTGCGCCGGCGGAGACGCCGCCGGGCGGCTTAGCGCCGAGCCGAGAAAGCCGCGCGGACCTCCGGAAGGGTATGTGCATGCAGATTTTCTCCCAAGACAAGCAGCAGAGCAATAGAGGCCTGGTCAAGCCAAAGGGTTGGCCCCGTGACCGGGAGGGGCACTATCCGGAAAAAGCCCTGCGACCTGCGCGCATGACGTGGAGGGCGCAAGCGACGAGTGGGCAAGGCTTGTGCCGCTGCGAAGAAGGGGAAGGGGAAGGGGGAAGGGGACGGAACGGGGAGGGGGGAGGAGAGAGAAAGACAAGAGAAGTGATCTTTCCGCGAGGCCCATCGTGGTCCTCGACGCCCCCGAGCTCCAGCAGCGCCGCCGCGGCGCCCGGGGCGTCCAGCAGCATCCGCAGCAGCGCGCCACAGGCGCCCCCCGCCGCGGCCTCCGAGGGCTCCGAGCCCCACGGGGGCGCGAGCTCCGCTAGGGCCGCCTTCTCGTCGTCGTCGTCGTCGTCCTCGTTCTCGTCGTCGTCCTCGTATCGTCGTCGTCGTGGTCGTCCTCGTTCTCGTCGTCGTCGTTCACGTCGTCGTCGTCGTCGTCGTCGTCGTTGTCGTCGTCGTCCGATCGTCCCATCGTCCGCAGGGCACCGCCTTCAGGTCGCGGTCCTCCCTGGCCCTGTCGAGCCGAGCCTCCACGTCCTCTCGGAAGGGGCGGCGGGGGCAAGGCGGGAGCCGAGCCTCTCGAGGCCAGAAAAACGCGAAGACGACGGCGAATTAGACGACGACGACGAAAGGAGACGACGACGACGACGAAAGGAGACGACGACGACGCCGACGCCGACGACGACGACGACGGCGGCGACGACGACGACGACGACGACGACGACGACGACGACGACGACGACGGCGACGGCGACGGCGACGGAGACGGAGACGGCGACGGCGACGGAGACGGCGACGGCGACGGCGACGGAGACGGCGACGGCGACGGCGACGGCGACGGCGACGGCGACGACGGCGGCGGCGATGACGACGGCGGCGGCGACGTAGGTGGCGTGGACGACAAAGCAGCCTCGGGGAGGACGATGAGCGATTGGAGATGAGGAGAGGAGCAAGGAGCTAGGAGAAGGGAGGGAGGGAGAGGAGAGGAGAGGGAAGCAGAAAGGAGGGGAACAAAAAGAGAGATGAGAGGGGCGAGGGGAGAGGAAACGAGCACGGCACGCGCTGGGGCGAGAGCACCATGCTGAACCACGGGGGCATCGCATAGTTCCTGAGATGTGGCCAGCGTTCAAGCAAGGGTGCCATGTTTGAGGGGCCGATTCCGTTCCCGGTGAAAAAAATTGTATCAGAACGATAGCGTCGGGGATCGCACGCGTGAAAAAGCAAAAAACAAAAAACAAAAACAAAAAACAAAAACGCGGGAGGCGTGCGCACTCCGGGCGGGGCGCTGCCAGGGGAGACGGAGGGCAGCAGTCACGCACCGCGCAGCTGCGGAGAGGAGAGGGGCGAGGGGCCTGGAGAAAGCTACGGTGCGCTCGAGTCACATCTGACGCCCTGCCCCTCACTCCCCATCCCTTGCAGTGTCCTGCCCCTCGCTCCACATCTGATGCCCTGCCCCTCGCTCCCATCCCCTACAGTGGCGCCGAGTTCTCTCCGTCCGCGGGCGCGTGCCAGGGCGGACCTGGACCTCCCAGAGAGACCCCATGCCGTCTGTGTGAGCACCCTGTGAACACGGGCGCTGCACACGCGCGAGGCGAGGAGCGAGGAGGGCCGCGAGCGGCGCCGGGCAAGGAGCAGCGCAGTCGGCTGCACGTACGAGTGGTCCTGGACAGGAGTGGCCTTTGGCGCGCGGCTCCTTGCAGGCCGCGGTGGGGGGGCCAAGCACGAGCGCGCAAGGCGCTGCTACCGCTTCGCGTTCCGCGATCGGGGGGCCCCCTGAAACCCGCACCAAATGCCA